CCATGAAGCAGCAGGAGGACATCAGAGGTTCCCACAACACCAACCGACTCTATTGACAAACAGAACACAATTACAATAAGACTACAACATCAACAGAGTATATACCGTGTATATGAATAGCGTGTAAACGAATCTTGTGATATACCTTTGTAAAATATGTTATTTCCTCTGAATGTGAAGAAGTGTCCGGAAGCTCGCCAGGTGTTGAGAGCAGGTGAGAGCTGTGGAGGAGGGATGTGCAGATACACCGCGAGCAGAGGAATGCACAACAGACTCACATGAAGCCACCACTCCCTGCTCACGCGACGGCCCGGCCCGCACTCACTTTCGTTCTGCTGCAGAGAGACGGGGTAACGTTACGTTTTTATTTTACTGTACTTTATCTTATGATGTATATTGCAGTTGTTTGTGTAAGATTCCTTGGACCTTGTATTAGAAGTATTGGCAGATAGACAGGCATAGAGGGCGTCGAAGCAGCGTCACAATACGGATTTAAATGAACTGACAATGCAGGCTTTATATGACGATTTAATTCAAACTTTAAGCTAAATAAGAACTGCCAAATAATTCGTGCTAGTTACTTACAGTCGACTCTTGTGACATTCTCGATTCCGGTACTTTATCGCAGTGTGTGTCGGCTGTTTTTGCTGGTGGGCTGAAATATGTGCTGTTGAGTGACATTAAGAGTCTGTCACTGAGCTGTCATCTGCGGAATCCGTACTTGCATGGCCTTAAAACGGTCTGTCGCGACTGTCATCAGGCGTCATGTTGCCAAGGATCCAAAGGTCTCAGGTTGAAAATAGAGCTCGCTTCCGCCCCTCGTGGAGCGGATGGCAAATGGCAGTTGAGAGGATCTACCAAGCGAAACTGAAACCGTTGACATTTCTGTAAAGTTACTCAAACGAAAATTCCTTTTGAAATTAAATGTTGGACAAAAACAAGTGATTGCTAGCTCCCTCCTTTGGTCGATAAGTGTATCACAGTAATAATAATAATATATATGATATTAATATAATCTATGATAGCCTATTTGTCGGTTCTTGACCAAGAGATCAACATTGAATCTAGCAGGTAGGCCTAATTGTCTCTCTCCCAGATCAGTTCTTAACTGACAGATATGACAGATATGATCAGTGCCGCTGCTAGCCATTTTGGTGCCCTAAGCATAATTCCTTTATGATGCTATCACACATAATTAAACAATATATTTTGTATGTCTTCTTCATGGACAAGCAAACTAATTTATTATCTTCTCTAGCCCCAATTGTTTCCGTCTCCCATGCTTTTCAGTATATAAACTGGTTTAGTGCATTTCATTTTGACACAGCATTCCAGCTGTCCAACATTATGTCTTAAAAAGTTCAACTACTAAATGCAACTTGATTATCAGATTTCCCCTTCTCTAATAAAACAACATGGGGTGATTTAAAAAAAAAATGTGGCCACTGTTTTGTTTGTTCTAGCGTCTCAAATTGTTTAATGAGTGTATAAGATCTCATTCAATTCTAGAGACTGCTAAATATTTGGATGTAGGAATTTATTGCAACCACCAGATGTCTCTATCTGCTTGAACACATTGTGCAATTTGAGACAAGAGATCATTTTCAAACTTAATCATTCATGAAGCTGTAGGTAAGGGTGTGGGACTGAAAAAATGACACTTAGTATAATTGTTTAATATTTATCGTATGAGACTAATGACTCCTAGTTATATCATAAAAAACTTAAAATTTAGGCCCTGGTGGCATTTTGGTCATTCATTTAAAACTTTTCACCTTTAAGAAGCTCAACATGTATGGCCCTAACGCTACAGATAAATGGGACTTTAATAATACGAGTGATTGATGTTTATTATCATAAAGACAGCCTAGAAGATCATTGTTTTCAGTTCCCATGACTTCTTTGTCTCAGCCAAACATAGATGTGGAAAATGTTTATTTTAATTTGTTCGTTCTCCAGCTGTGCATCTCATTTAGTATGAAAACCATCTACAGCCACCTCATGAAAAGTCAAACTTCACATACGAACCAAAACATAGGAGTTGCCTGGTGTTGAAATTAAACTTTGTCTGTGTAATAGGTAATAGGTATGTTGACTGCTTGTCAACCTTTTTCCTGGAACAAATAGATGACTAGAGGAGCCTTCAGGTCACTGGAAACTATTTGTTGTCGTGTTTAAAGTCGTGATATAATTTATGGGCATTCTGTCAGCGTTGACTCGAGGATCTGTTGGTATATGGTGTCAAATTTGTTGATGCGACTCATTGTTTATAAAATCTGACCTAAAAATGAGTCAACCACACCAAATAAAGAGAAAGACCCAACTGAAAGAAACCCCTTAAGGTGGTTTGATAGTCTAAACTGGTTTAAACTGGTCAAACTGGTTTCTTAACTAGATCACCAAGCTAGATTTGAAATTAAAATGTGACATGTTGAAGAATTTTCTTCAATGACTTGTACGTCAATAGACCTGAACTTTCATTTTAAGTAACAGAATTGTGTATTTTTTGTACAGTATACGCATAGAAACCTCAGATGTGGATGTGTAGACACATACAGTACCAGTGAACACCTTCAGTTAGATACCCACATGCATAAACACACTCAGTTTCATACACAAAGCACAAAATAAAACTAGAGTGCAGCTGTCAGGAATAATGATGTGCAAGAGATACTGCTGGTATATAGAGTTTTACATTGAAACTGGAATTATGGGCTTTAATGGAGACAGTGTAATGATTAGTTCACCGAAGGAGAGTTGAATTGAACCCATGTGCGGTTTCTTACAAAAACAAAACAACTTAAACATGATTTGAAACAAAACTTAACAAACAGCATTACATGAAACAAAGCTAAACAAGAGACAATAACATGAGGGCTGTATATAGTAAGGACCAATGACATAAGCCACACGAAAGCAATGAACCATTGAGCTTCATGTTGCTTCATGTCATCTAGCCAGTCCGTCAGAAGGGATGGATGAGGGACGGTTACAGTACTGTTGTCACGACTTGTTTAAACATGGAGTCTGTCTGTGTATCCACCTCTGTTTTTGTCCATTTGTGCTTAATCCGTGGAGAAACACCAGCTTTTACAGCAAACAAGATAGCAAGCTACAAGCTATCAAACGCACAGAAGCTTTGAACTGGAAAATGACAACCAACTTCCGGTTCAAATCCGCTATTATTTCGCTAACTAGGAAATTCGCTAACCAGGAAAAGGGTGGATAGGGAAGCACAAGATGTTATCAGATGAAGGCAAGAAAGTCACTTGACCAACAGGAACATGACGAAATCTACTAAAAGAAAAGAAAACATGGACATGAAACAAAACCACAACCAACTCCGACAAACATATTTTCTCTGTTTTCAAATGTTATAACCAGATGCACAATTTCTAGTTGTCAATGGTATATTGTGTTTATTTCACAATGTTTATTAATGTTTATTTCTTTGAGTTTAAGTTACCTGCATGTGGAAAGTGGAGGTTTGGGGGCAGCAGATTACATGTTTATTTTCTATTATAATTAGTTGAGTAAGATTATTTTATGACCTCTTTATTGACAATTTGAGTGAATTAATTTATTTTATTGTAATTGTTAAGTAATGATTGTGGTGTCCCCTGTGTATGTTTAATGGACTAGTGTGTGTGTGGATTGCCAATTTCATACCTAATCCTACCCATCTCCGCTCCTTCGATCTGGATCCAACTCCGCCCCCTGGATCTTGTGTACTGCAATGAGGTGCTATTACGTTTTACAGTAGATGAGGGTAAACTCAGCAGTAAAGAATGTGCTTGCAGCCGGTATGCTATTTAAAACGCCCTGAGGGACTCTGCTACACCTTGAATTTGACAGCAAAAATTCAACAGATCCTCTTATAGTGCTATGAATAGGTTCCACATACATGAGACTAAATTATATGGTTGCAATATTTTCTTTCTTCTTTGTGTTGCTCTCTTATATTTGCATGATATGTAAACCTGTTAGTCATAACTATGGTTGAATGACTGGTTGCTTTTTTTCCCCCTTTGGGACTGTTTGTTATCCCTTGGATGTATAATGTAAGATCCATCATCCAAACTATGGGCATGCACCTTAACCATTTCCCATAATGTTTAAGTCTGACCCTTAAAAAGTAAAACTTAAAAAAGTATACTTAAAAAAGTAACTACTTAAAAAAAGTAAAAATAGTATTTTTAAGCTCATCATGGACAATATTAAAATATATCATGATTCGTGACAGAAATATCGTCAGTAAAAAGTAAAATATGCAAATTCAAGTATGTCAAGAAACATACTTGATTGGTCGAGACGTCACGCATTCTTAATGGTATATGCTAAGTGATCTTCAGTTGAATATAATGCAGTGCTTAAAGCAATTCCTTCTGGTCTAAGTTGGCAAATTTTATTGGTCCTCTTTTATTGAATGTATAGACTGGAAGGAAGCCTGGTTGTTACCTCATAAGTATTGTATTTCAAATAAGATTAAGGAAGTTCATTTCAAGATCTTGCATAATGACACTGTTACAAAATATATGGATGTTGACAGTTCTTGCACATTTTGTGGGAATGAGGATGAAACGCTGATCCATTTATTTTTCCAATGTGAAAAAAACCAAAACTTCTGGAATAGGTTATATCATCACATTGGCAAGCACCTTGATTCTTACAGACCCTTTCAATTAAATGATATAATTTGTTACTATAAAGAAGATAAAGCTACTTCAATTAGTTACATTGTTAATTTTTTTTTTTTTTTGGGAAAAATTTTATTCACAAGCAAAAATGCTCTAAATCGCAGCCTACTTTTCCACATTTCTTAATCGAATTTGATACATTTCTGAAGTCTCTAAGATTGATTAAAAACAAGAAAAGTGACAGATTCTTGAAATATTATGATGATATTTTTAATACCACTGATGAATAAGGTTTCCTCTGTCTTTTATTTTTTTTATGTATTTTTTATTATATATAGCCTACTGTATAGAAGCTTTATATAGACTTTTATTATATATACTGTATGAAGCTTTAATATAGACTTGATATAACATGTCGGAGTTCTATGTGTTCTGTGCTTTATCCTGCTTGTTATTTGATAGATATTCAATAAAAAAAAGTGATCTTCAGTTAATAATACTTGTATCTGTATCGACTGCGGTACTGTACGTGAACAATGTACATTTTAAATAGATACAGTAGATCACTGAACACCATAAGTTGGTTTAACTTTCAAGTGTGTGACTGATTCAGTGTGTGTGTGTGTTTACACGCGCGTCCGCGTGTGTGTAGAGCAGCTCCGCCTCCACGCACTAACACCAAACACGGGAGTCCTGCTTGAGTCAGTTGAACTCACAGCGTTATGAAACAAGACACCTTCATTTCATCAATGACACGAACAGAAGGGGTACATATGAACTTCATTAACATGATGTGAGTTGTTAAAATGACAGCGGAGTAACTACACAAACAGGAGAAGGTATTAAACTGTGACGGAGAACAACCGACGCACAAGAGGTAAAGCTGCTCATTAACTCATTAATATTAGCTACAACGTGTACACTTTTGTCAGTGAATAGCTTAACGAAGTAATGCAGTTTGTTTATCTTTTTTAATGTTATTTAGGTGCAATAGCCTACTTGTTAATTTGTTAAGTACGATTTTTGTTTTTTGTTGATAGTTCATTCATGCTACACATAGTTAAAACAGGATATTTCTATCAAACAACAGATACCATCAACGTATCATAGTTCCACTATCTATCTATCTATCTATCTATCTATCTATCTATCTATCTATCTATCTATCTATCTATCTATCTATCTATCTATCTATCTATCTATCTATCTATCTATCTATGACTGTCAATATCTGTCTGTCAATTATCTTTCTATCTGACTCTGTCTGTCAGTCATCTATCTATCTATCTATCTATCTATCTATCTATCTATCTATCTATCTATCTATCTATCTATCTATCTATCTATCTATCTATCTATCTATCTATCTATCTATCTATCTATCTATCTGTCTGTCTGTCTGTCTGTCTATCTATCTATCTATCTACTGTAGTGGGACAATGGTATGATATATGATATTAATGATATACTGAATTTAGCCTACTGCATTTACATGGTCGATAGATTATATCAAATGAATGTTATATTTATTGAACGTCTTTCTAAACTTACAGATTTTTAAATGTGATATTCATGTTTGACAGACAATGGGATAATAAGGGCGCATCACATCATTGTTGTCTATTTTTTTTTTTTTTTTTTTTTTTTTTGGAAGAGATTCTCGCACGTTTCTATCATGCCAGCTCAAAGGATGTTCGTCTTCCAGCTCTCCCTGTTCTTTTGTTCCTGGCTGTCATCCATTCACGGTCTTGATTTCCGCTATTATAACAGCGTGGAAATGGAGCAGTACTTGAAAGACGTCAACAGGACGTATCCTGAGATCACACATCTACACAGCATCGGACAGTCTGTCGAAGGTAAAACAGCTGTGGTGCAGCGTTAAACACAATCATGACAATATTTTCCTATGTTTGTCTTCTGTGAGTTCAATTCCTCTCTGTCCGGATGTGTTCCTGCTGAAGAGCACACGGTGTTGTACAGTTTGAGGGCAATTTTAACAGATGCATGCAACAGGTTCAAACTTATTACCTGGCCGTTTATTAGAGAGCTTATCATGCAACAAATATTTTTATGAGTCTGCAAACAGCAGCAGTACAGTGAGCCATATGCAATTATGCATAAAAAGTCATCTAATTTGATTGACCTTTTGATATAAAGTCCCTCAGGACTGGGATTTTTCAGTTTGCATTGTCTATGTTTTTGTGGGATCAAGACGGGAATGCCAGTCTGTGTATTTCGCTGGGGCCTTTTGGCATGCCTTTTTTTGTATTTTTTTTTTTTTTTTTAGATTAAAAAAAGATTTAGATTTAAAAGATTAATGTTTTACATCTTTCATTATTTTTTGTGATTCTTTATTTATGAAACATTTTATGTGTATAACTATTTACAACAAATCCCAATATTCACCCACAATCATAAGATTAAATACAAATAAATGATAACATGACAATAAAATAAAGCTGTGACCAAAACAATATAGAAGGATCTCAATGTCTCAACATCTCAAACTTCTTGATAAAATCTTAATAAGTTCAGACCAAAATTGTATTGTCTTTCTGGTGCCGCCTTGCACTTTAGCGGTGGTACATTCCAAAAGAACAATGTCCAGCAAATAGGAAGATCCAAAGAGACATTTTTAACCACATTTTTAGAATATCCTTTTTAGTAGATATTTTATTAATTTATATTTATTAAGGTATTGTCGAACTGCCTTACAAATTTAAAATACTAATTTCCTCCCATATTTACATTTCTGTAAATACATTTTGATAATAGATAATGCAGATTCATTAAATAATATTCCTTATAAGACAAAACATGGCATAAGTGAAATAACAAAATCAAACTTTTTCAAAACAGAGTTGATGGGCAAGATGTGATCCTTAATAAATGGACAGAAATATAACCAAAAACAAGCCGAATGAGGGAACTCCAAAAATGAACGAGATCATTCTGCATGGAGCCTATATGCAAACCATAAAAATAATGTAGGCTTTGCGCATTTTTCTCTGATACTGAATAAGATATGACACCAGACGCTGCAAAAAACAACAACAACAACAAAAAACATAAATTAAACATATAACAACTAAATGAAATGCAAACCTGCTGCTTTAAATTTGGCAAATTCAGCTAAGAAGAGGTCATTGGTCACACTTTGTAACATAATTCGCAATTCAGAGTTTTACAAATTTTGTAACACGTGGAAATGTTGTAACTATTTTTTAAGGGTTGTAAAAAAGCAATTTGGCTCGCAATCGTAGTTTGAATATTACATGCGCCCTCATGTCCATGGCCGAATTAACAGCACTCTTATTCATTTGATATTCCTTAAAAGATAAATTGTATTTATTTTCATTTTCAAAATGCTCATATGTCTGTTATTCATAAGCAGGTGCCGTTTAAATTTGTGAATTGTGACTGACAGTTGTTTCATGTTTACATAAAAAGTGCCTTAAAAAAATATTTGGTACTTTTAAAATCTTTTTGAACATCAATGCATGAATTAATGAGAATTGCATAATCCACTGAAAATGTGTCCTGAGAAATGCTCTAGCAGTTTTTGTTTGCTTATGAGGGGATTATATTAATTATCTAATGCAATGACATTCATATATTACAACTTTTAAAGGAAATTCACATCAGTATCTCTCTGAATGTGCTGCATTACAGTACCAGTTCCCCTTGAAACATCCTGTGTAAAGGTGTTGGATACAATCCCATCAGCCATTTCAGACCCACTACATGTTGATCATAGTTTAATTATGAAAACACATCATTACTTACAATGAGTGAATCATTCATGCATATTGAAACCATGCTTTCAACCCTTGAAAGAGTGAATCGTCTTAGGTTTTAGATTGATATACCGTAGTCTACTTCTATTTTAATAATGTTAAAATTGGTTTAATCTCTCTTCCACATCGGATAAACTGTTTTGTTAATTTAATGATTTATACACAATATTTGATAAGAATCTTGGCCTCTGACCGAACTTCACGTCTTGTAGTTTCTAGGCGCCACATACCAAAACAGTTGAAGTGTAGCAAAGCGGTTCATATCAGCGGCAAAATCACAACTTGAACACTAGTTTCCCATGGTTCTACTTAGGTGCTTGGAAAGACCAGCCAGTTTTACTCTATTACCCCAACAAAAGGATCCTGGGTAGCTTCAGTGGCGCTTCAAAGGTCTTTCTCTACGCCCTATACGGTCATACTGAAAGAACGTTTTGAAGCAGGCTGTTTTGTCTGGAGATGTTTGAAAGGATAGTTTGCTCATCCCATTTGTTATTTGAAAGGGAAATCAGTGCAGCTAAAGATTTGCTTTTTTTCCACAGACGGTCAATCTGACAGTGTTAAACAGAGCCGGTAAACACTTGCCCGCACAGGAGCACAATGCAGCTCCTGTGCTGAGATTGGTATAACGAATAAAGCTGACCTTTGATTTGCATTTGAGTGACAGACAAGACCGTAGTTTTTGCAATGAAATGAAATGATTGTCCGGCATTCTTTAGATTGCATGCTAAAGGTTTAGGCTTTTTCTTGTTTTAGTGTCATCCTGGTCCTCCTGTTACTGTACGAATACAACTTCACCACTTTTAAAATATTAAAAATATTAGGCTAATGTAAATAAATAACATTACAATTCAAACGTTTGGTGTCGTAAGGTAATGTTTTTTTTTTTCAGGGCTGTCAAACAATAAATCGTGATTAATCGCATCCAAAATAAAAGTTTGTGTTTACATAATATATGTGGGTGCACTGTGTATAATTATATAAATATACACACATGCTTGTATATATTTAAGAAATATTTTCATGTATATAGATTTATATATAATTTATATTATAAATATAAATATTTTATGTATAAATAATATTTTTTTCTTAAATATACATGCATGTGTTTATATATATATATATATATATATATATATATACAAAATGATTAAACACAGTGCACCCACATATATTATGTAAACACAATCTTTTATTTTGGATGCGATTAATTGCGATTTTTTAAAATTCATGCTTACCAAAGATATATTTATTTGAGAAAAAATAGTGTAAAAATTTAAAAAACAGCAACCATTACTAATATTATTCTTATATGCTGATTTGTTGCTCAAACAATTCTTATTATTATCATTGTAGAAAACGAGCATGCTGCTTAATTATTATTTATTTAGTTGTTTTTTTTTACAAATACGAATTTCAAAAGAACAGCATTTGTTTGAAATTGATCTTTTTTGTTAAAATGTAAAAGTCATTACTATCACTTTTGATGTATTAAATGCATCCATGTTATATATATACATTTATTTATTTATTCAAAATGACACAATTACGATTAATCTTTTATACTTTCCTTCCTAATCTCCCATTATCAAGCCAATACCAATCTAAATGCTCTTACACAATTATAGACTATTTTTCTCTACTGTTTCATTTTAAAAAATATGAATATGGCTTTTTTTATTAATATAAATGAGAGTTTTAAATATATCCGGTGTAATACAGGTTTGGGGTTGATTTTGAAATATTTTCTAAATGTCTCCTGTGTATCCAGGTTTGTCTGGGGATGTTCGAAAGGACAGTTTGCTCGTCCCATGTATTATTTGAAAGGGAAATCACTGCGGCTAAAGATTTAAAAACCTAAGATTTAAAAAATAAATGGGGTGAAATTTCATTGCATGACGGAAGAGATAAAAGTTGGGAAACTGAGTGTTATAACCACTCCCTGCCATTTGTACCCTGTTTTTCCTTTTAATAAAGTAAGTTTGTTAGTAAGTTAGTTACTGTGGCCGTCTAGCTCACGGTTACGGTGTTTAGGATTACAGAGTGATGGAGACATTGACTTATCTTTAGTGGAGGTGCTGCTATTCTGTGACATTTTAAGTTGATTTGGTTTGTGGATCAGGTTGCTCTTTCGGCTCAGCACAAAAACATCATTGAGTAGAACACATCCGCTGCCAACTCTCTCTCCCTCCCTCCCTCTCTCTTCTCCTCTCTCTCTCTCTCTTTCTCTTTCTGTTTTCTCCATCTGATTTAGATGCTAATATCATGCTGTACACATTCTCTCAACCCCTGTCTCTACAAGGGTGGTCCTCTGTATGCTTCAGACCAAATCTCATTTACTTCATCTCCAGACAAGAGGAGTGCCCCAAGGCTGACTCTTGGGCCCACTTTAGTTGATTAAAACCTCAAGTAAACCTCTGCTTCCCCCGTTAAAGATCTCTTTCTGCTAATGTGGGTATTGCTCAAAGCTAACCCAAGGACACTGCGGTACCATATCATTTCATTTAGCTGATGGAGTCACACTTCAAGAAAGCAGCCCCTAATGAAGTTGTTCCCATCTCCTTCATCTCTTGGAAACCTTTGTTACTGGCTGATTGTAAATCCCATTTCTCCAATCACTTCAGGCCTCAAGGATATTGTGAAGCCATTGTGCACCCTTGTCCTGTCAAGCTAACCCCTTGTCCTAATCCCACTGTGCCGCCTATTTAAGGCCAAGAAATAAGAGACCCGAGCTGACTAGAGGTAATCTAGGACACCAGCTGCTTAGCCTGGAAGACCGCCCTTGTTTGTTGACTGCCCTGTCTCGGCCTAATCAGTGTTGCAGTTTCCCACCAGGGTAAGAATGGGGGTGGAGGCTGACTATGATTATCTCTGATGTAATATTATGTTTCATAATGTTTGATTAGTTGGGCCTAATTAGCTAAAGCGCTTAAGGGTGATCATCAAGCCAGACAAATGCCAGTCGTCATCTGGCAACATCATTGGCTTAATCAAGATTACACTACAGAAATCCTTTAAGCATTCATAATTCTGGACATTATTTTGTCTTGTTTGATAAACAGCAGTAATTGGATTTCAGTTCTGGTAGGAAATGCAAAAACAGCTTTGTTAATGGAAGAAGTGGCGGCTCTTGTGATTTGTGTAATTGGGAGGTTGACTTTGTAAACCACTGTTGAAAGTTCGACAGATGTTTTCTTAATGTGACTACATCCGAATGTATATCTTACAGTGATTCTTTACCTTGGTTTTTAAGGTTTTTATTACTAAACAGTATTTTTTAAATCTGGAAATAATGCGCTTCAGGCATGTGCACTCAGAAAACTGTATATCAGAAGTTTGGACTGGTAAGGTTTTAAAATGCAAGCAGATAATAAACTTTGATGATGATGGAACAACTGCATGTGTGTGTAGTGCCACAGTAGAAAATTAAAGACTTGACTGATGATCTCTCTGTAAAGGCACGTTGTGGAGGCGTTTTCTTCTTTTACCATCTAATATAGTCATGCTGTACATCTTTAACTTGGTTCAATGGATCGGTTGTTGATTGAATTTTCAGATTTGGACGTTGCACTCAAAAGTGGAGGCAGATAAACGTGAGTTTACAGAGGTGAAGTTAAAGCAGATTACATGATTGATTAAACAAAGTCCTGCATACATCATCTGTCATTTTCATTGAAAGGTCCAACTATGACTTGATTTTTATCAAACATTATGTGGTCAGTTTTTTTTTATAAAACCCATGTATAAATGAATTGTTCACAGTATGATCTATAGCTTATAGTGAAATTTCATTGCATGCCGAATATGAGTCCAATTTAAATCTCACCTAAAAAAAAAACAAAACAAAAAAACAAAGAAACACATTAGAAATCACTCCTATTCTTTTGTTGCTTTGTGAATAAAAGTCCCAGTGCTTTAATAGCTGGGCTGATATTATTACAGTATATTGAAGCGTATTGGACTTTTCCATTGACATGAAAATCGAAAAGTGTATCGATGACATTTTTGGCTGACATTTTGACAAATTTGGCTGTAAATGTGAATAATCATTTCTGTTTGGAGGTTGTGTGTGAAACTGTGAACAGGACTCACTGTGAAAATCTCATCAAATTAGTGCTGACAATGCCAAACCAAGCTGTTGTTCTCTATCGATGGTATGTGTGAACTAAACCATACTATTAGGCATGCACGTTGGAGCATGTACAAGGTTGTGATGCTCTGGCATACCGTAAGAAGCCTGCTTTCAATGAGTTTAACCCAGTCACATAGTTTGACACAATTAGTGATCGTTTACACAGAAAACAATCTGTGGAATGGGGAAAAAACGCAATATCTCGAGATGCGTGAAAGTTAAACTGATTTTAAAGTTTTAGAATGCTGTGTCATTCTTGAGGCACTGCAAAAGACACAAGACGTGAACGCAACGTCCGTCTAGCTCGAGTTCTGTGTGTTTTGTGTAAAGACTTACAAGTCAATTTCATGGACTGTGTGACATCATGAACAACTGTATAAATCGTGCATTCAACTGCATTTTGGTGGTGAATAACAATCAATTTGGTGGTTACTCCAGGAATATTATAAGAATTTAGTGTAAAAGTTGCTAATCTGTTGGAGAACCACTCTTTCTAAAAGTAACTAAAGAAACTATTGTGGACTTGGAGAGAGGCCCCCTAGTGAGAGTGAAAGGCTTCAAGTATCTCAGGGTCCACTCCTTAGAGAGCTTTACATGGACCACACACAACACAGATTAGTTTGGTGGCCACAATAGTACCTCTACCTTTGGTGCCTGGGGATGTCCCGGATGGCTCCCATGATCGTTGTAAAGGTGCACAATTAAAAATGTTCTCACAGGTAGACCTACTGACTGGTGTGTAAGCCAGACACACAAAATGGCTGACATGACACCTTCATAATCATGTAGGTTTTATGCATGTTTGTGACAACTGTCATTAACTCTCAATAATGACATTTTGAATGCAAATATGACATTGTTTGAGATGTCTTTGTCATGACATCTTGACATTAATTTAAGTTAAACTGTCATGTGGTTGGCTTTGACATTGGCTGTCATGAGGCATTATAACTGTGTCATGAATATTTTTTGTGACCTCAACTACAGTGGTACTAATTGAATTTGTCTTTAAAAAGTTATAATGGCTTCATGACAGCCAATGTCAAAACCAACCACCTGACAGTTTAATGTAATGTTAACCGATAACTCTAGGTGGTTTCTTAAGTTTGATAATTAATCTGCTATGTCATGTTTATGACAGGTTGTGTTGTCTTAGTAATGTCAAGTTGTCATGAAAAAGACACTGGCAGGTTATGATGTATTGGTTTATGTCAAGGTGTCATAACAAAGACATCTCAAACAATGTCATATTTGCATTAAAAGTGTCATACCTCAGCGAATGACACTTAATGACAGTTGTCACAAACATCCATCAAACTTCCTTCATATGTCATGATTATGAAGGTGTCATCATGGAAGTCCCCTTCAAGTAAAGTGTTACCCTCTTTTCAAGCTCATCTTGAATGAATTCATTTATTTTAGTTTGTTCTGAGGCTAGCATGCTTTAACTTGCTCAGTGAATGTGATAACTCCAAATTCAGTAGTCCTCTGAGAGACAGAGACCGAGACAGACAAATAGAGTGAATGAGAGAGCTAGACGTGAGATTACACGGGAATGGGTTGCCAGGTGCCTGCCCAAACTGTGCAAAAACATTATTTGAGGATCTGGTTAACCCAGAAAACAGTGAGACATTAATCATGTGACCGGCACAAGATCAACACTACTTAATTCAGTTGCAAATGCACTGATTCACTACTTGAAACATTTGTTTTCCAGTCGATTAACATTTACATTTTGTCTTTCTAGGAAGAGAACTCTGGGTCTTAATACTGGGTCAACATCCGAGAGAACACAGGACAGGCATCCCGGAATTCAAATATGTGGGAAACATGCACGGGAACGAGGTAATGCAGCTGTGCTCCTTTGTTATTTATTACTGAACATGGTTCTGTTTTCACCAGGTCTTGCATTGTTAGCAGTTTAGTGTTACTGATCTGCTTCTAAAGAGCCCAGTCTGGCATGTCTGTTTTCTTTAGATCGGGCTAAATTAGGAATTGGAGGCTTCTTTAAATAGATCCAGCTCTTCGTTTGTTTAGTTTTTTTTTTTTTCTCTTCTTCTTCTTTTCTTATTTGGGCGAGAAGGGGCCAGTGTTGGTCAGAATGGGCGTATTTGGTAAGGGGTGTGTGGGAAAAGCGGTCTGTGCACAAAAGTATTGCAGTCCGAGAAACCGGCCGGGACGCCAGTGAGGAGCAGTGGACTGTGACCCTCACTGGGGAAAAAAATACAAAAATACAAAACAAGGTGGGCTGTATAGGGGGGGATCTTTTCACTAATGTGCTCTGCCTCCACATCCACTCAGAACTATTGTTAAGTCTGTACTTCCTGTCTTTGTGAGAAGACTAAACCAAATTTGCTGAAGAAAAACTGTGGTTGGAATTACTATTGGAGGAATGGGCTGGAAAAGCTTTAGGAGAGGGATTTTGTGGGGGGGAAAAAGGTCACACTTTTTTAGATTATGGTACAATTGTCACTCTTAACTAAATATACTTATAACTATAGCCACATTTCCACTGGGGTGTGACTTGACTTGTGTGTTTCGACGACAGGGATCAGGGTCTAAATGAAGATCTGGGTAAAAATGTTCCCCTCAGAAAGTCTCTGCTTGCGAGGTAGTACTTTTTCAAAGTTCAGGAACTTTTGGGGGTGGTACTTGGGTGCTGAACATGCTGATTGGTTGGCATTTTGAATGCTTGACTCCACGCAGCATTTCATTTCAACCTCCATTTTTACCAATCTCTTGCGGTGCGTGCAGAGTCCTAAGTCATTGGACTAATTTGCTTAATCTTCACGGTACTTTAGACCGTGGTGGAAACGTAAAAAGCAACAGGTCTGGGGGAAAAAAAGTTCCTAGGACAAATTGTCCAGGGTAATTTCGGTGGAAACACTGCTTATCACTTTTGCCTCAATGAAATCCTAATCCTAATTAGTGAGGTAGCAAATCTTTCTGATCGGTTAAATCCAGCCAAAGGTCCAAGTTCCTCTGGGATCTTTTGACTTTTGATTTGACTTTAGTCAATAAGCAACCACCTAGAATGCAATAGCAGCACATTAAAAACACTGTGAACATCTGTGATCATCTTCGTTAGTCAGTTAGGTAATGTGTAGGAATAAAGGATGTTGAATATGGTCATGCAGAATAAGGTTTTAATATTTGTTTTATAAGTACTAATAAACAGCCAATATCCTAGTGATAAGCTAATAAGCAACTAGTTAATAGTGGGAATTGGACCCTAAACTAAAGTGATACCAAAAATGGACTCTATCCGAGTTTTAATTTGCAGGGATGGTTATCCACCTCTACTGCATTTTAAATTATGGGTGACACTTCTGCTTTGGGAAAATCAAAAAGACTGAAACAACTCATTCCAAATAGGGTTGCACTTCAGTTGATCCTTATCCATCAGTTTGACTGAATAAGCATACATTTTCCATCATGCTCTATTTTTAGAAAAATGTGTTCTGTGTGAATGGCCCCTTAGACTTACAAGTACATTTCTTGGACTGTGTGAAAATAATTTCTATCAATCTTGAAATTTGAATGACATTGGTATCGTAAGAATATGTTCTGTTTTCCGCTGTGGATATGAAAAAGACAACAGATGCTGCAGTATTGTGGTCTACTCTCCCAATTAAATAGACATATCCCATATATAATTTACTAGAATGCAGAAAGAATCTCTCCTTTTCTCCCCAAATCCTCATTCACATCTCTTTTACGGTTTGCTTTCACTCAAGCAATTTAAAGATTAAATTGGTGCTCAACCAATATGCATTCTAGTTAGAAACTGTGATTTGAGATTGCGCTGACGCCATGTGACTGTGTCGTATGCCTTTTTTAAAATACTACAAAAGCCATTCCAGAGCACAAGCTCTGATGTTTAATGATGACAGCGTTCACGTGTGTTTCATGTTTGTTCTGACAACTTTAGTTCCACAAATCCTGACAAATCCATGTTTTTAAAACCGTAAAAACTCTTAAAACTCTCATAACTTTGGAATTAGAATTTAAATTAAGTTCTTGCACATACTGTATGTGTGCTGTACATAAACCAGCACATAAAGTACTGAATGCAGTGCTACTGTTGCTGCATAAAAACGTCTTGTATTTGACATATTTCATCAAATACACTTGGCATACTTCAACAATCTGAACGTCACCAAGGGAAGCAGAAAGTTACTGAATTGACGGCTCCGTTTTCAACTCCTTCCTCAGCGGCAAGCGGTGAATTCAGCCAAAGTCCAATTTCCTTTGGGATCTTTTGACTTTTGATTCGACTTGAATCAATAAGAAACCACCTAGAATGCAATAGCAACGCGTTAAAAAACACTGTGAACATCTGTGATCATCAGAACATAAATTACACAATTCAGATTCAAAAGATTCACGTATATCAGTAGCTCTACTGTACATTTGTCAAATGACCTTCTAAATTTAGCCAGTCAAAGCTTTACTTGTCTGGCACCATGGTGTCACCTAATGAAACCGCATCCTGTCTGATGTTTTCAGATCACGCACATACAAGGAAGGGAGGTGCATTTCATAAAACTGTAAACATTACTCAAATTAGTCACCTAAGCATTACCCACCAGCATCCTTGAGTCATTTCATGAAAAGAGGTGTGGCAGAACTTTGATACACCACTGAAGTGCTCCTATAATGGTCCGAGTCTCCTAATGACCCCATAAGACAGAACATGATCCTTTTGTTATAAACCTGAATGGCAAAAAAATCTCTTTTAAACATCTATCTTAAGAGAGCGTACTGACTGTAAACACAGATGGGGCTAGTATGGATTACGGAGGGATGAAAGAAGAGAAGAGAGGGGAATTATGCATCACATTAATGCATTACTCAGAATAAAAGTAATTAGCTGCATTACTTCTGGCATCATTTATAAAACAAACAGAATTAATCTGAGTTGAATCTATTGCAACAATTGCTTGTTTGTTCATGAAGCTCAGTTTAAGATTATAGCTTTAGCAATATCAAGCAAGGTTGTAAGTTTATCTGTGTTTTTACTGGCAAACGTTTCGTTATGCATTCAAGAGACGCTTTTACTCGGTGCATTAAAGGCGAATGGTTTTACAAACAATTTGTATGAAATTCAGCTCATGTTTCATGATTGGCTGCTAGGTGGTTGCACATTGACGACATTCTTGGTTGAAATGGTTTAAGAAATGGGACTTGGGCGCCAAACTGATTGGTTCATGCCACATTTTGATTGGTTGACTCCACGCAGCATTTGTGTTACACAGATCGATATCTACCCTGATTAGTCTGGTCATGTTAACACCTAAACCTGCGTTCTTTCAGTGTTTTGAAGTGCATTGAAGTGTAATATATAACAGGAAACCATCCTTACTGCAGATTTAGGTGCATCCAGCCAGAGTCAGTGTTTCACTGTAGGAAAGGTGAAAATATGTCACATACCTGTATTTCGCCGAACACCGAGGTCCTGTGATAATATTGGTCGGTCCAATTTGGTCCCATGCGAATTGGCATCTCTGTGATTTGGCGAGGTCGTAGGCTTAACTTTGGAGCCTTATTTTTTTTTAAAGGTTTTTGTTTCCTGTGCGCCTTTTTATCTTGCCTTTAGCCTTTCACGAATAATGGAGGCTGCATTGGACTGTTTTTATAGTATTGGGTCACATATTGGGTCATATCACTATACCTACACCATACAACTATACAATTTGCAGAAAGAGAAAGCTGAAAACGTGTAAAACAGCATGCGGTAAAGAACGTTATTCTGTTTATGGTATATCATACAGCTAGACCTATAACGACAAGACATTTCCAAGCTATAGCCTATTGACATCATATCCGGGAGATAAGTCAGTAAATTTGAGTAAAATGGCAGGTTTTGCTTGCCACATGAAATTCAGATGTCGGTGGGTAATTTTAAATCACAATAATACTAATCCAGTGCTAATAGGGCTTAATTTAGAGAATAGTGAAGGTATGCGAGGCGATTTCAGATACAGATCAAGTTTTGATTATATTCTGATCTGTATGATTTGGGTCCCTTTATATTGGATTTTTCACCTGTGTTATCATTCAAATTAAAATTGAAAACCATAATTATTTTTGAAAAACAATTGCACACTCTTTTCAAAAATCTGCACCATCTGAGGAGCGTTCATGTCTGTAATATAAACAGACATGGCAGAATTTAATCCCAAGAATACCTATCATCTTCGAAGCATCATCTATTCTACAGGCATGTAAAATCAGCATTGTTTTGCATCCTAACAGTGATCCCATTAAGTAACCAACAGTGAGAGCGAAATTCATGGAAAGCTAAAGTCTAGTGACTGTGTAACACAGTCAAATGACCTTCGGCCTTAGTGCAGTGCGACTGACTTGTCTTTTTCCAGCTCTGGTTTTACTTCAATCTTAAATTATTCTGCTGCACGCTGCTCCGGCCAGAGCGGACTCACCGCCTGTATGAAAGCGCGATTGTGAATATACAGACTGATCTTAGTCCTACTGGAGGTTTTCAACAGTGGCTCCCTTTTTCCACTCCTCTCTCTCTCTCTCTCATTCTCTCTCACCCTCAAAAATGTTGTTCAAACAGTAGCATGATCTTTTTTATTATAAAAAAAAAATATTAAGCTTGTGGCGAGTCAGGGTTTAAGTGGTCTTGAAATGAAGCTGTGTGTTAAATCGTCTTGTATATGCCAACCTAAAAAAGAGGTCCACGTGCCTCGTTAATCAGAAATAGATCCATAAATATTCTCCTCTGGATTAGTTATTTCACTCAATAAGAAAAAAAAAAGCTTTTATTATAGGCAACAGTGAAGTTAATGTTTTCTTACAAAGTTTTACATCAGCTGTATTCAGCATAAAGTCTGGTTTACGTATGGTAAAGAATTGCTACTTAGACATGAAAAGACCATCTGTCTGACATGTAGGCTAAGGGACAAATCGGTTCAGTTGGTTTCAGTGGAAATGTGAACTGCCTTACAAAATCTTTAATACTTGAGTTACAGGCACACAAAATTATTCAACATGATTTGTTCTTCAGACATTCCTCCTGCAAATGGAAAGTGACCCATGTTTGTTTTTTGGAAAAAGTGCAGAATTCAACAATTTACTCTCTGAGCCACATTGAAATCCCCATATCTCTGGAAATAAAACATAAAAGGCCTTAAAAATGAATTTACCCAATCTAAAAGGATATTAAGATATATGTAATACTGAGTAACAGGCATGCAAACTTCAGGGAAAAAAGCACAAGAAGTATTTTTATTTTATTTTATTTATGACATGTTGACATCTAACATAGATTGTAGTCAGTATATTTAACTAATAGACCTATCAATTTCTCTGTAAAAATAAAGTATTGATGCTGCAATCTTTCTAAAATAATTTAATCTGGTTAATAATTTAACCTGTAATCTGGCTCAGATTAATACCCATTAATTACTCAGTTAATACCCATCTATCCATGACATTTAATGTTCTGACTTTCTTCTTTTATATATTATTTATTGTCTTTCAACACAAGAAATGATCAAAATCAAAGTTTTTTAGCCAGGAAACTATTCTCTTTTCATATTAACAAAACATTTCAAAACCTAAAGGAATAGTTTTCAGGAATCTACAACCAAATATACTCACAGCGGTTTAGTATGTACGCAGAATCCTGTGTGGGTGTGAGAATTCTTCCCTAAATTATTAAACTGGACCCTTCTTCCATTCCTTCTCTCAGGGGTGTTTTATTTCACCAACAAGTGTAAGCTTGGCCACAAATGCATCACCCCACAGGTGTGAGGGATCTGTCTGTGCCCTCACACACATGCTGAAATGTTGATCTAGAGGTGTTTTAGTGTGAGCATCAGGGTGCCGAATGAAGAACATCAAGTATTTCAGGCCTGGTGTTGGGCCCTGATCATGTCTGGGGCGCTGAAGGGACTGAGGGTGTGCGGTTTGTGTTGGTCTTTTGAAAAGGAAATGGTACACAGTTCTTGGATCTTGTTGTTGTTCACTGTTTTCACCCACAATAGATGGACACTATGTAAATTGAATGGTAAACAAAAACCAAACCACATCAGTCAAGATTCAACCACATCACTGAAAGTTTTAACAGAGAAATGTAATGACATGTCAACATATAACCACTAAGTAAAGTAATTTGCAGTAATGCAAACATGACGGGACGTACAATGTCCAGGAACTACTTATTGTGTCAACTATCTGTTGTCAATGAACCGTGGAATCAGACTTTACTGTTTTCTTCTGAAAACCCGCCACTGGAGCAGATGTTTTTGTCTGAGATGAGTTGGCGAGTAAGTGCTGATGGGGACAGGGAGAACTACAGGACACAATATATCATCATTAGTGTGTTTCCAGCTCTCTGTTTTTACAGAATTTGCTTAGAGGTCTAATGGAGCCAGTGGTTCTTGTGTGGACTTGAAATGCTCTTGTCTGATGAAGGAACAGGAGAGAACTTAGCATGCCAAATGTAACAATTAAGAAGATAAAAATAATTGTTATATAACAAATGTATTAAAGTCCCATTGGGGACAGAAGTAAGCCTTTTCCTATCAAATGCCAATAATCACTCAAAAAAGAATGAAACCATTTAAATTACATATTAGGAAGGAAACTGTTTGATAAATCCTCAATACGCCCCTACATTTTTCATTGTGATTTTCTGGGATATTAAGCCCTGTTTAATATTGTGTCTATAATTTATAAGGATGTAACATATTGTAAGCATGTATGTTTTATGCTTATAGGCATGTTTTGTTTATTGGTGTCTGATGTTTACTGGTACTCTTTTGGAAAGGTGTGTTATCACATTCACACCGATGAACTGATGTGTGCTGTGGTCTGTTTCACAGATAAAAGTAATCATACACACCATGACCTGCTGTTAGACAGACTACAATGCTCCAGGACAGACAGTTTAACCCACAACTCTGCTGGTCTGAACTTGTGCTTCATAATCACAGGTCTCACTGTGTCACAATGTGTATGACGATGCACTTTAACTTCAGAGTCTCTTTCGAATATAGTTTTCTAGAAAATGGGTTGTCCTTGGAACTAACCAAGGCAGTCATTTCTCAGAAAGAGACAATACACACCATACCGAAACTACTGTATCTATCTGTAGTCTCAATGTTTGCATGTTGTTTTGTATAGTATATGCACCTCGGGCATCAGGTTCTGTGAGTAGTTTCTGGTATAGCTGCTCCTGTAAGATGAGAATAGCAGGCCAAAACTCTCCTCAAACCACATCAAAGCGCCCCTGTCGTCCTGTGACGTCCAGAAGAGACAACAATGATGTGGCATGAACTATCTATTCAGTGATCTCCTACCAGGAATGGGGCAATTCATTTCCTGTGGAAGATTCTGCCATAGTTTTGTTAAACTATAAAGCCACACAAATTGCATTAGTATTTGTCATGCTTAAGATATTACATTTGAAAAAAGAAATTTGAAGTTATATATATATATATAGTGTGTGTATTAGGGCTGTCAATAGAATATTTTTTGTGTGATTAATTATACACTTATCATGAAATTAAGCATACATCATTTATCTTGTTTAACACGTTCATTATGTCATATAATTTTCTACTGTATATCCAGCAAAGTAAGGGTGATTCTCACAAAACTATTCTCTTTAAGCTTTTTTTCAAGATAAATGTAGGTGTCTTTCCAAAAAAGGACACATAAATGATATGAGCCCATATAATTCATAAATGTATGCACATCGAAGCAGATTTATCAAAAATCTTTGAAGTTTCTTTTTGACCATGTATTTGTATTTCTCTGTGTGCAGGTTGTAGGGCGTGTGTTACTGCTTCAGTTGATCAATTATCTGACCAGCCGTTACCTGAGTGACCCGCTGGTGACACGTATGTTGAACAGCAGTCGTGTGCACATCCTGCCATCCATGAACCCGGACGGCTTTGAGTCATCTGACCGGGACTGCATAAACTCAGTGGGCCGGTAAGTGAGAGAGAGATAAATAATACAAGTTGATATGAATATCCACCCGGTTCTCATCCCAAGGCGTCATCTAACTGACGCTTTCGACCATGCGTAAACATCCGATGCACATGGCACCCTTTAGCGTCAATATGAGACGCAGATATATATGGGCCAGAAGGCGCCTCCTAGTGGTCTAACCCTAACCATACCCCAGACCTAAACCTACCCATAACGGAAGCATTCATATTGACACTAAAGGGTTTCATGTGCGTCGGATGTTGGCGCATGGTCAAAAGCGTCAGTTAGATGACGCCCTAGGATGGGAATGCGTTGGAATATCCCACAGTTGTGCCACGATACTACTGTAAATCCATGGTTAATGTTGGTGATTTGTGGTTAAAAAAAGCCTAGATCGTTGTCGCACAGTGTTTCTCCTGTCTTCTGCGTGAGTGTGAAAATGTCAGTGTGGTTTCATGTAGCTTTAAACAAGTTTTTTGTGGTGTGTTTTTGAGAACTTGAATACTTCTCACTGAAACTCACTATTATATTGACACCAGTCAGTGACAAAACACATTGATATTGGTGAATGTAGCCTCGAGGTCACAGCTGATTGGTCTATGGTGACATTTGGCTTCAACGCTTCCAGTGGAATTGGTCTATACCAATTCCTATAGATAGAGTATACATGGTTTAAATAAAGAGCGTTTAAACCTCTTTACCACATTATTTAAGTTAGTATATCGGAAAAAAGCAGGGAAAATCTTTTTTTTTAAATGAAGTGACCCTTTAACATCCAATTGAACAATTTATTTTTGTCTTTCAAAAGCTTAATTTATTTTGCTGCAAGGAATTCAGAACAGTTTATTTCCAAGTTGTCAGAGTCTGTAACTATCTGCCCAGAGAAACCATGGCTCAGATGAGACGTTTACAGATAGAGCTGCTTTTCCCACAAATCATCCAAGACTTTGCTGATAAGCAGGATACAAAGACTCAAACACACATCTTATCTAGCATGAGGGATCTTAATCTCTCTCTCACACACACACACAAAGATAAACATTCATTATAGCAAACTCAAACTATTTGGTCCACGGGCATAGTTTTGCCAGAGTAAAGGGGTGTCAAAAGCCTGAAGCAATGGAAAATAACTTCTTTGGTCTGTTGCCACAACATGCTGACAACAAAATCCACCCAAGTGGAAATATGTAATCTGTAATCATCAGAAGATATGAAAATCTGGATGGCTAAGTTTCATTCATCCTGTGGATGTAACAATGCAGCTTTTGATCAGACCCACAATGCTGTAAAGGTCTGCTGTTTTCAATGATACCAATCAAAGACAAGTCAGCACCTTGTCCGATTTGTACAGAGGAACTAGATGATGTAGATGGATCGTATCTGTGGAAGCTCCCACTGGGTGACCTCAATCTAGAATCGCTCTGTATGATAAGTACATTTAATTAGTCAAGCTCAAACAAATGAATAGTTGGATGCCATTCGTGGCAAGGAGAACGGTTATATGTATGACTTTTCAAAAGTTATACAGCAGACTTCTGACAGTTCTAGGGAATTTTGTTAAAACTACAGATCAAACTTAGACATTTTTGTATTCCTGCCCATCAGATTGTTAGGTTGCACTATCAGAAGTGCATTATGGGTGTTGAAGGTTTTGGTAAAAGGGAATATCACAGCCCTTTTCTCTAGTCGCTTAGCACTGATTTGTTTAATTTAATTTCCACTGTATAGTCAAATTTTATTAATTTGACGCCCATCTTTCCGTCTTGAAAAATAATGTTAATTAGTTAATACAATGAAGGAGATTAAATTAATCATCAGAAATTCAAAATATTATGTTATCTGAACTACATAAATTATTTAAGTTGATTTGACAAAAGAAAAAATGTTGTGTTTACAAATCATGAACTATGTTTTTACAGTGTACAAATATAGGTGAATGTCTTAAATCGTTTATGCGAGCAACCCTAAAAAACTACATTTTGTAGGGCTGTCAAACGATTAATCACATCCAAAATAAAAGTTTGTGTTTACATAATATATGTGGGTGCACTTTGTTTAATTATTTTATATATATAAATACACACACATGATTGTAAGAAATATTTTCATGTATATACTGTATATAGATTTATATATAATTTATATTATATATAATTTTTTTTTATTTCTTAAATATACATGCATGTGTGTGTATTTATATATATATAAAATAATTATACAGTGCACCAACATATATTATGTAAACACAAACTTTTATTTTGGATGCGATTAATCGTTTGACAGCCCTAACATTTTGTAAAATCTTTTTATTCTCAGACTTTCTGCAGACCCCTTGGGCCAGTGGTATGGTCACAGTACACACAAACATCAGTATTATTCATTCTCAGTCAGTTTGCATTATGATGTATGTAAGCCACACAGACTATTAGTGAAGTGAAAAACATGAGCTCAATTAACATTATACAAAAAGCTGCCTGCAAAACCTGTAGACAGTAAAGCCACTCTCAATTTTTTGAAAGGCTACATGAGACCAGTGTCAACCATATGTCCAGCTCAGTAAGCCCCAAAACTTTGGAGACACACCAGACCTCATCTAATACCATAGAAGCCACATCCTTGAATACAAACCGTCCTGCTCCTGCAGTCTGGGATCATATAAGCGCTCCTGCTCAGATGGGGATGCAATTGGAAACAGATCTGATCTGGATTTGATGATATGGTGGGTAAACTCGGAGAAAAGGAGATTGAGCAAGAGTCAAAGCGAGAGAGCACACTACAACATCAGTCATGCAGCTGTGCACATTTAGGACGATGATTGTATTTTTACACGGTGTGGTTCGCCCTTATTGCCATGGCTCTCGCTATGAGCTTCCTGTGAGGTTTGGCACCACTCTCAACCAAGTGAAACAAACACAACCCTGTCAGCCACTGCCACAGTCTCGTATTTCAATCCAACGAATCATGCTTAACCTGTGACAGGTCACATTGTAAGGAAAAGTGATGGGAATCGCAAGCAAATGCATCACTCTGATTCGGCTACTTTGCCAGTGTGAGCAGGAGCTGAATGAAACATTCGGAATGATACCAATCCACAATCTGATTTATGATGCAGCCTAGATGCATAATCACATTATGTTCTTTCATTTGGCCAGATAAGTTATAAAAGTGCTTTATAAGTTAAGGTGACCTAACACTTACATAAATTAGTTTATAACTAATTAAATTAGTTTTAACTTATTCAGTAACTTTGTCGCTAGTAATGCCATGGAAATACTCAGGAAAAGTTGTTGCATTGTAGTAAAGTTTATGCATTTAAACTTATGGAAGACATTTTCTTAACCTGCTATAGCACCACTTCATGTATTTCTCGTAGACCCATACCTTAGATTTTTGTATGTGCCAAGTCTGCAAAGAAAAATATACATACCACGGGAAACCGTTTATACATTTCATAGGAAACAATGAATCAACACTTGTAAGTTTGACACAAAAATACACAAGCCGATCGCCGTAAAACATTTTATGGCCTCAGTTGAAGGTACTATATGCAAGTACATGTTTATGTATAATGTAGATTTTGAAACAATGCAGCAAAACATGTTGAATTCTCAGTGTTGCTACAAGAGGAACAATAAAAGACATTAGCGTGAACTTGTACAGTCTGAGACAAAAAGTGCAACAAGTTTCCAGAACTGCTAACAGAAATGAACTGTTTTCAATTTACTTATTTTTGGAAATGCGATTTATTCCTTTGCTGGCAAAGCTGAATTTTCATCAGTGAAAATTGTCACATGATCCTTCAGAAATGTATCACTATTTCTTACCAATGTTGAAAACAGTTAATGGTTTAAAATGACAGCATATGGAGCAAGCTGTGAAGCTTTAACCGGTTGTCAATTCAAAGCCCTAATAAGAAATTATTATTTTAATTTTATTTTGGGGGATTATTTACTCAGATCCCCTTAAAGTCACAAAAAAACTAGTCGACTAAATCAAATCACACTAGTATAATCTCAGACATTAGTTTGTGGGAAAGATTATATTAGTCATAATAGCAGATAAGGAATTACAGATATAATTAGCAATATCATGTAGCCACCCTTAAGATTCAGAGGAAATGTGTCATTCTTAAAGGACAGGAAAAGGATGTTCTGATAAATTCATTTGGGAAACGGTCTATATTTGGTAGCAAATGAAATCCACTCTTGTCAGATTTATGTCCAATATGGCAATAATTTGACCTTCCGATTTAAGAAAAGACAACTCTTGAGGTTTTAGACATTTAAGGCGACTTGACTCGATCAAACGGTCCACAGAAGTTTTGGCCTGGCATTCGTAGTTTTCTCAGCGGAAAGAGGCAAATACACATTATGACTGGTCAGTTTGTCATTGGCGCAAGTCATCTGAGGTTTCAGTGAAAGTACTATAATTTGAAAGCACAGCTGGACTGCTGGAATATTCCATCAGGTCGAGTTTGAGAGTCTGCAGTGGAATATTCATTCCATATATCCATCTTATATATATATATATATATATCTCGCACACCATAAACTTAGAGGGTGTTTTCCTTGAAAGGGCAACCTGCAATAATTTTTTGTCTCGTTTTAACATACAGAGCTAATTAGTAGTAAGCCATTACTAGGTTGACTTCCTGAGTAGTTTAAACACACAAAACATTTGCCTCATGTCAGAATCTCATGACATGTCAGCCTCTGGCTCTGAACAATGGCAGATAAGGGGCAGGGTGGAAGGAGGATTCGGGAAATCCAGTTACGTTTGGAATCGACATTTACTAATTAGAGAATCCTGTGCAGTATATACTGTGTATCTAGAAAGTGAAACCTGAAACCTGCGTCACCACGCAGCATGTAAGTGGTTTTTAACAACACATTTTTTTTTAAATACTTCTGGTGACCTATTGTAATTGTTGGCATTTGCCAGAACCACTCTCCATTTAGTTTCAATAGCAAAGAACAGCTTGCGCATTCTGCTAAACAAATACCTTTGTGTTCTGTTGATGGTTTGTAACACCATGAGAGTGAATAAACAATGACAGAAGTTTTAGTAAATTATTCCTTTACAGATCAGTGAAACACACTTGAAAAATTTCCTGCACTGATCACTCCATAGCCACAGAGCACAACATAAACACTATTTAATGCTTTTCACTCACGAATTAATGGCTCTCACACATCCTGGCGCCCTGTGACAGCCCTGATACTCCTCCAAATTAAACTGACAGACCTAGAGTGCGAGCCGGCTGAGATTTAATGGCTGTGCGCATGCATAGAGATCTAAGTGTGTGGCATGGCAGGCATGTGTGTAAAATTGTACTGATTCAAGTCATCCGAAAAACACCATGATCTAAGCTGTCATTACATATAAACAGTGGTTAAAGGAAAGTAAACCACACTGGGCGTTGCTCCATCTCTGATATATAGAGTGATCATCACAGATAGATATCACAGATGGAGCAATGTGTCTTAGTCTGACCCAGGATCAGTTACCCTAACAAAGGTTAAATAAGAGAAATGGCATACATTGATCTGAGCACAAATGCAAAAAGCGTCAGACAAGAAGAAGGCCTTCAACGATCTGTTCTGCCCCATCAAACTAACAGCTCACCACTAATGGAAACCTCAAGAGCTCTTTTAGACAAATAGTTTATAGAGCTGAAAGCAGTTAATCAACCATTTTAACGACAAAATGTGGTCGGCCACATCGATCAGCTGAAGTGTCTGGCGTGATTTAGATTCTAGGGTCTAGGGTGTCTGGATGAGGCCGGCAATCAGCGAAAGAAAACAACCCGAGTCCAAACCGAGCCAGAGACACAAGAGAATCTAAGTGGATTTATGAGGCGCTTAATCAGTTTTCAAAAAGCTTTCAAACAAGTTGAAGAGCTCCAATATTTGCGAGAGAACCTGGCATAAACAAGCTCATCTTTCCCATTAAACTACAAAAGGCATTCGAGGCTGAGAGTGCAGGCCAACTTTTTTTGTTTTATAGTATTGTGAAAGCAGGAAGAAACAGCTCTGTGTTCAAACACCAGTGGCACACACACACATCCTGTTTATTGCATCTAGGTTGGTTTCATATGCATTTGGCGTTGACCACCCAGGAAGGCTTGATTGTTGAACACAATTCAACCAAACCATTTAAATCTGTTTGTTTGTTTGTTTGTTTTTCCCAATTGTCATTGGCAGCATTGGACCTCGTGTGACGTAATTTGGGTCATTTTTTTGTGCTAAATATATATATTTTTTCGTTGTGTGTAACATTTCTGTTGTGCTGGCATCCAGGCGTGCCGTTTTAGCTGAGCAGCATTTGTTGACTGAGAGGGGCTGTTTAAAAGCACTTCAAAGCATTGCAACAGTAAGCAGACAGGAATCCCTGAGGGAAGCACTTCTGTATGGCGTAGAGCAGGCGCTCCGTGTTCGGGATTAAGACGGATCGCTCCACCCGACGATGTCACGGCAAAACACACTAATCCACCCGCACAAATTTAGACCTGCCAGTGCAGACTAATGCAGAGGGCCTGTTAGTTTGCTAGTTAATCGTTTGATGTTCTTCATCCTTGAAGATGTTGGTGTCAGCAGCACAGATGCAGGCTGCAGCTGACAAAGTCAGGTCTTCTGTTCAGTATGTCCACAAAAGAGAAAATAATCACAAAAGGTTATTTGTTGTGAATGTGTAAAAGAAATATGTGCAATTACTCCAGAAAAGCAACATTTACAGGCCATAGTTTCCTTGAGTAACAAGTTCCTCCCCCCCTCCAGGTATAATAAGAACGGCGTGGACCTGAATCGCAATTTTCCGGATGCATTTGAGAGTAATACCGAGCAGGAAATTGAGAAAGAAGTCAGTGCAGTGATGGACTGGCTGAAGACGGAGACTTTCGTCCTGTCGGCCAATCTCCACGGAGGTGCGGTGGTGGCCAGCTACCCCTACGACAACAGCAACAGAGGTCAGTCACATTAATGAACCCTTTTTCGGTGGCTTCCCTCAGTTTTTTTTTAAGGTCATGAAGTGAAATTACAAAAAAAGAGATATTGTTAGCTGTTAAAAGCCACATGAAACTAGATTTATTTGGGCAAGCAGGCCAGTGGAATCTCAAAGCAGAATGGTATAAAAAGCTATAATGGTATAAAATAAACGTTTTACCAGAACTCATGACCGAACAGCAATTCAGCTTGTTGCCTCGATTCCAGTATCTGAATCTGCACGGCAAACATGCCGTGATCATGAGATTAACAGGAATGTTATCGGTGTCTTACAGGAAGCGAGCTGCAAGGAGGCCAGAGCATCTCCCCCGACGATGACGTGTTTATCCACTTGGCAAAGACATACTCCTACAACCACACTGAAATGCACAACGCAAACAGTTGTTCCGATTTTATAGGCTTTGACCACGGCATCACTAACGGATACTACTGGTATCCTCTAAAAGGTAAAAGTGTTCAATGCAGCATTTTAATATTTGTGACCTGTGCTAAGTGCTCTACTTTTTTTACCAGTATACCACAATTTTTTGATTAACACTAATGAAAACAGACAGCCTATATACTGTATTAAAGGAGTAGTTCACTTTTAAAAAAAACTTTTGCTTATAATTTACTCACCCCCATGTCATCCAAGATGTCCATGTCTTTATTTCTTCAGTCGAAAAGAAAATAAGGTTTTTGATGAAAACATTACAGGATTTTGTCCATATAATGCACTTCATTGGGAACCAAACGGTTCAAGGTCCAAATGAGAGTTTCAGTGCAGCTTCAAAGGGCTTTAAATGACACCAGACGATGAATAAGGGTCTTATCTAGGACCCTTCGAGTCATGACTCGAAAAAAAAAAAAAAGATTTGTTCATTTTGATGAACGAGTTTGAACAGGAGTGTCACAAACGTTCATCACAGAACAGAGCAAGGTGAGCATTTGTGCTTATAAAACTTTTTTATTTATTTTTTAAATGACTGATCGTTTCGCTAGATAAGACCCTTAGTCATCGTTCCAATGAAGTCCATTATATGGAGAAAATCCTGGAATGTTTTTATCAGAAACCATAATTTCTTTTCAACTGAAGAAAGAATGACATTGATATCTTGAATGACATGGGGGTGAGTAAATTATCAGCAAAAGGTTTTTTTTTTTTCGTACCTACAGTACCGCACAGATCTAATATACTGTTAGTACCAATCAATGGTTCTGTACTAATTGAATGTGTTTTTCTCTTAGGGGGAATGCAAGACTATAACTATGTGAAGGCACAGTGTTTAGAGCTCACACTGGAAATATCTTGCTGCAAGTTTCCTCTAGAGTCACAGCTTCCTGGCCTATGGGAGGCCAACAGACCTGCACTACTGGCTTACATGCAGCAAGTACACCTAGGTAGGTACTGCTTAGACACACTTGTCCACTTAAAGGAGCATTATGCATGGTATCCCAAAAGAATAATACAAATAAGTAAAAAAAATGGCTCTTAATCATAACTTTTGATCCACTGGAAGTGTGTGCTGGTGTTTGTGTTTAGACGCACTACATTTGCATGTGCCTGTAAATTGTAATTGTCTTGTTTCGCTGTGCTCGGGACATTTCTGGGCTGTAGCATTTGGCCAGTGCGTTTCGCCCTCAGACAATGACAACGCAGACTCTATTGTCTGTGTCTGAAGCTCCACTAAGTTGTCTATGAAATACAATTTGCTAATGTTAGTTGCCGTGTTGACTGCTATATGTAATTTGACAGATTACTCGTTAGTACGTTTTTGTGATAACACAATTGTTTATTAGCAAGCTAAATTGGCTAAACTCACTTGCAAATTACAACCAGTCATGTAATTAATTGTATAACTGTTTGTTCATATACACAATACTGTTTATGATAAACACACTATAAAGAAGACAGCAGTAAAACTCTCCAACGTCGGTAGCATAGTGATGCATGAATCAATGCTCACACAAAAGTCACATTCTAATCACTCAACGTTGTGTTGGTCAATGCTGTGAATTTGAACACAATCAAAACTAGTATGCAGAGAAACTTTTGGCCTCGCATGAAACTCCTGATTGTCCTGTTGCAATAAGTGCATTTTTCCAAGTAACGGTAGATGTGACAACACCTTTAGCTCTTTCATTAACTCTAGAAGGTAGGTGATTTGAGATTTTACCAGTGAAACGTCCCACCCACACTTAAGTGGCCGCTAAATAAACAAATATTTAAAAAAAGCAGTTTTACCAAGCCATAATTGTAGCCATCACATTATGAGGTAAATTTCATGCGGTATAGGGCGCTGTATTATTACAGCACACAGTAAACATATTATTTTACAGTCGCAATAAAATTACACACACACACACACACACAGCACTATCCTGACCGTGATTGTCCCACAGGGACAAAGCCGCCGTCCACACCAAGCATTGACACAACTGTCCCTGTAACCCAACCACAAGCAAAACATCCAGACATACGCTACCACACCTCTTAAACAACGGTGTGAAAGAAATGGCTAACCAATTAGAGAGCACCTAAAGTTGTGTAATACCACGTAGACACGACTATTTTTTTTAATGTCAAGTTATTTGCATTTTCTGCTTGTAAGATGGTGCTGTGCGCCTTTAAAGGTGACATATTATGCCCCTTTTCACAAGATGTAATATGTTGTCCTCATAATGTGTGAACTTCTTGCTCAAAATGCCCCCAGATCATTAATTATAGCTTGTCAAATTTGCCTCTGTGTGTATGAGCCATAGCCTGAAAAAAAATATAAAATAAATAAAAGATGGACGGCCAGGGCCTGAAGTTAACTTTTTCAGCCATCAGCCACTGTGGATTTCAAAATTCACCTGCCACAGAGCTTTTTTCCCGCCAGTTTTTTTTTTTTTTTTTACCTCTTAAAGGTGAAAAACGGGAATTTCACAATACTGTTCTTTAACTTGTAAGAATACACATTTAAGTGCTGTCAAGTTATTAACGAAATCAATATAAGTAATATTAACTCTTAGAATATACATTTTTAAAATCTTTTTATTCATTGATTTTGACATACTGTATATATAGACTTACCGCAGCTCATATGTAAACAAATCACACGCGGCTGTGTTGATGGCTGATTTAGTCACGTAGACAGGTCCTGACAGCTTTTAGACAGCGTTCAGGAACCGTTAAGCAGAACTAAATTAATATTATTATTATTGGTAAAGTTATCGGGTACCGGACATTTTTTTTTTCCGGTTCCCAACTCCCAACATGCACAGTTGCACACGCACACACATCTGTGCAACTGTCATTGTACTGTAGCCTACGTCAGCGTTACATTATCTCATCCCATCTCACCAACAGTTTAATACTCGCACATCCAAACGTAGTCAGACAGAAAAGGGCCTCATCTTCTTTCTGATCGCATGAACGTTCCGAAACAGTCGCTGTCACAAATCAGCCACTCACGACTCATCCTCATCTTTTTGTTGGTTGTTTGTTTCACAAAGTCCAACGCAATGGCAGACTTTGTTGAAATGTAAAAGAACAACAGTTGTTAAAAAAAACCTAATGAATGACTCAATTTTCACTGGCTACCCATCATAACGTCACACCACCGCATCAAATAACTAACTAAAAATACTTATTTTAAAAACAAACACTTGAAATTACACCAGCGTGATAAAAACTACAGTAAATGACAAAAACTATCTTTGGAAAAACTATATTTGTGTATGTCCCCTTAAATGCAAATGAACTGCTGTGCTCCACTTCCGTTCAGAAGATGGCCGATTGTATACATGAGCGATTCTCAGTCAGTAACAAAACACGTGAATTTCTTACAAAAGTAGCGGATTGCAGCCTATAGAGAGACACAGGAAGAGGTTTCAACTTTTAGACCTGGACGTTTCAGAATGGTTAGTAGTGGATTTATATATGTTGTCATTGTGGAGTACATTGATTCATTTCATATAAGTTACTTGCAGCGTGTGAGTTACCGTATTGGTTAACTTTTACACAAGTCGACACAATTCCCTGTGGTCTTTATGAGATAGCTGTGACATTTTTTTGGTCAAGTAATGTTATGTGTTGGTCTGTGCAGCCAACGACAGAGCAGTTTGCACGATTTGTACTTTGACAAAGACAATACTTTGCCTTTGGTTTTGTCGTTTGCGAAAAAAAACTAAATTGCGGCGCCATGTGCGTAACGTTAAGTTGTATACAGTCTAACCGTCACAAACGTGCAGATTAAGGGGTGGTAATATTACAATAAGATCCCACCTTACATTAGAAGGTGAGCGAAGTTGCATGGGCTTATATTTGATTTTATTTGTTGACATGCTTGCAGAGAAAGGCTTACCAAACAGTTAACGTTACTGGGTTGCCACTTTTCACGTTTTCCGGATTGGTAGATTCACCGGGGACCCCATTATAGTTCTTAAAGGTGCCATCTGACACAAAAATCAAATCATATTCCATATTCCATACCAGATGGGGGCAGTATACCTCCAGAAAGTGAGTTGTGCCGTGGCCGCGCGCACTCTCACGTCTACAAACAACAAAAGCGAGCGCTGTTTTGCTCTCTCTCCCTCGCGCAAATTATTCAAATCATTTGACACGATAGTAAAAGGTCGGAAGACCGCAGTTTCACGTGGAGCATTTGGAGATTTTTAGAGATCAGAGACTCAATGAACAACATCTCAACACTAAATGATGAAGAGCGTCTCATAGACGCCTGTCTCAAAAACAAGCTGGTGCATTTCGACGATATGGGAAAATAAAAGCCTGGGCAATTATTTGAAGTTTATGGTATTCGTTTTGTTCATATTACACTTTTATTGTTAGTTTGAATTAATTAGTTGAATTAGTGAATTCGGTGAATTCGGTGAATTCGTGAGAGTTTGCAGCTCTGAATGGCGCTAGCTTGATCAACATCGGCGAATAACACGCAATTGACACTTAGCAATTAAGGTTAGTTAGGTTAGTTAAGCTTTCAGATTCTGTCAATTTTATTACGCAATTCAAACAATAAATACCGTTTTGGCGCTTGTACATGTTACACCACAGATCCCTAGCGCACGTGAACCGATCATCTCTACTAGCTAATGGAAAAAGAACATGAACACTGTTGAAAGATACAGTATGCTACAACTTACCAAAATGTATTCCTCATGCATAATGTCGAACAATCATTTTTGAACTCTTCCCTGAACTGAAATGTAGTAGTGGGCTGTATTTCCACACGACTGACATCAGGTTCAAGTACACACAAGCCGCGCGAGTTACTCGTGTACTGCAATTTGGCTGGTGGTTATGTTGCCTGCCCGCATACCGCCTCCCATGGCCGAAAGTGGTATTACGACACCTGCCGGGCCAGGGCTAGTAATTTAGCATGCTAATTTAGGTTTATATCTCGGCAGCACTATAACTTGTCAGTTTTTCAATGACATTTTTGCACTTATTTCTTCTCATTCTTTTGATGCGTGTAGCTCTTTTTTTTGCGGGGGGGGGGGTATTTTTACCTCAATTATTACATATGGCACCTTTAAACACGGAAAAAGTCCGATTTTCATGATGTCCCCTTTTAAAACTCATGTACACAGACCTGCAACTAGAGTGTTTACATGCGACTACATAATTGATGGAGGGCATGCAGGTGTAACTTACTGTAAACCAGGAGAATCAATATTTTTCATTTTACTATGGTGTGGGTGATTGTTAGGTGGCCTACTGGCCCAAGTGAAGCAAAAGTGGTTAATCTGTTACCTTTCATATCAGGTCCGGTGTGATATTTTGCAAACAGAAATGAAGTCATGGAGTTTGTATTTTATTTTGTACAGGAGTGAAAGGAGTAGTGATGGACTCAGACGGGAAGCCTGTGCAAAACGCTGTAGTCGAGGTGTCGGGAAGAAGAAATCTGTGTCCGTTCAGTAGCGATCGGAACGGGGAGTACTTCAGACTGCTGCTGCCCGGCACATACACCATCACGGTAAGATACCGCCCCCGTGTGGTCGACCTCAATCTCATTTTTCTGAAAGCTTTGCAGATCAGTCACAACACAATATTATCATTACAAAAAAAAAAAAAACTGCATATATGGAAGCGTATGGGTAGCAGCTGTTGTGGAAATGATTCTCTGTTATTCGAAAAGATAGGAGGAAGAAGACAAGTGGAAACCTTTTCAAAAGTCAAAGTATCAAAAGTTTATTTTCTTGCAAGAAAACACATCCAATCTTTTGGCGTTCAACATAGAGAACAGTGTCTACATGTGAAGGCGTTTAACATACAGAACAATGTCTACATGTGAAGGCGTTCAACATACAGAACAATGTCTACATGTGAAGGCGAAGGCTAGTCCTTCTCATCATCCTTGTATACCTGAAAACCCAGGAAACCATGCAGGCTATATCTGGTTTTGCTACCGATTGTCTCTTACACCCTCTAGCAAGGAAACCTGTTTGCGCTGCTCTTGACTATTCTTGTAGACAGTATATTTAATTTGGACAGCACAATGACGTTTGTGTTAAGTTTCCTATGTTCAAATACAGCTTCACACCTCAATTTATCTCTTGGTTACAAGTTCTGTTCGACCTCACACCTTTCTGCTCAATTTATCTCTTGGGTGCAAGTTCTGGTTTATCTTTTGTTTGATCAAAACCCTGCACAAATATAACTCACACTTGAAATACAATGAGCTATTAAAATGTTTCCATGCTGCTTGCTTCTTTGTTAAACACAGAACATTATGTCCTCACACTAAGCTTACATTACTTATGCATTTCTAACAGCTTAGTTATACCTTAACAATGTCCTTTGGATTTCATGAACATCTTCCTTTAAATGCTTATGAGTATATGTTAGATGATATGAATATTTTCCTTTAAATGCTCATGAATACATCTTCTCCAACGTTAGTAAAAGTTACACACACATCTATCACATCTTAATGAAATAAAAGAAAACATATAAAAGAAAATAAAGATCATATATGAAATAAAAGAAACTTGTATAAATGTAAATGCAAAATTAGCCATTACACAGCAATATTCAATTTGAAATGTAAAATGAAAAATGACAATGCAATATGTAAAATGTCAATGCATTTCTGTATTTAAATGTACATTTTCCATTACATTTGTGCATGTTTGGTGCAAAATGAAAATAATACAATTATATAATTTCCATTTTCCATTTCATACACTAGTTTAAATAGGCTATGTAAATTGAATAGATATTTTAGTATTATATATTAAGTTGCAAAATGAAAATGTATTTCAGAAATGATTAGATGTTTTAATTTGTTCAAGCAAAAACTGTAGCAGAATGATCATTTCAATGTTTTTAGACTCAGTTAAGACACTTGCATTTGTTCCTGCTCTGTTTGTGCCAGTAAACGTTAATTTTGTGCTGCTTCAGTTTCTTAGATATTAAAATAATATTAATTGGTCATTCGAGCTCACTCAGCCCCCAATCATCAATCATATACACATGCTCCAAATTCAAATAAAAAAAGACTTGTTTGTTTGTGCCGGTAAAACAATTGTTTGTGCTGCTTTTTGAAAAAGTACACACTGAATTATAGAAGATGACGTCACCAGCCCCCCAAAAAGCCAATAAAATAGAAATGGGAGATGGTCATACATCACATGAGTCACTTGATTGAACATTACAGCCATGAAGAAATAAAGAGTGGTCACAATTTTTGGTATGAATTTATCCCGTCATATTCTGTAATCTGAGTAATAGGCTTAAGCATTTGTAAGGAAAAACGGTATGATTTTAAATGCAAATTAAGCAAAATAACATTTAAATGATCATTTTCTTACAGTTTTTGCTTGAACATGTTAGACATTCATTTCTGCAATACGTTTTGAACTTATAAAGCATTAAAATGTGTATTTAATTTACATGTTAAAGTTAGTGTATGAAATGCCAAATGTAAATTATATAATTGTATTATCATTGTAATTTTGCTCCAACGTTGAATTTAATTTAAATACAGAAATGCATTGACATTTTACATATTACATTTCAAATAGAATATTGCTATGCATATGCTGCGTTAACCATGCTTGCATTTTTATGGGCTGTGAAATTTAGCATGGTTGAATATTTAGGCGGTGCATATTTCAAATTAAAACATTTAAAACACATTTTCATTATTAAAAATTCAATAATCCATATTCATCTTTCATATTTCACTTCCAAAATATTCAAACGTTTAAAAAACACAACTTATAATATTAAACAGACAATTTTCGGATCCATTTTATTTCGCTTTGCAAATTCGCTTCCACAAATTCTATTGTAAATTCAACTTTGACATCTAGGAAAAGCAGTAGATTACCGAGCCTAATCTGCTGGTGAGGTTAGTCGACCTCACCAGCAGGGGGTGTAAGCGTGCGTTGTTGAAGAAGACCAGAGCAAGCCATTCAATCATAACTCATTTACAGCAGTTGAGCATGTATTAAGTTTTTGTGATGAATATCTGGGTCAGTAAAGACACAAAAGCTATGTTTATGTTTAATACAGTAACTTTCCTTGTTACTTTCCCTGTGTAGTCTACACGTTGTCAGGTTTCTCTACCATGAACGGGATTATAATCGGTTTCCCTCAATACCTCATCATCCTCAAGGATATCGTATCTTAATGGACTAATACAGTGATAAAAAAGACCTACTCTCACCACATTGGGGATGTAGGATAGGCTGTATAATCATAGGCTACAGGCAAGCAGACTCAGAATATGCAGTTTCATGCTGAGCGTTTCCCAGTGCTACTGGCATAAAATGAACACTTGATCAATTAATGGTAACACTTTCTTTTCCATTATATATAAGTAACTGGGAAGAATCATAGCAAATATTTGTTGTCCTATTGTTAGTTTAAATGTAAAAATGGCTTGACATTTGCACATTTAGGGACTGTCTCTAACTTCAATTTATTTGAGTTAATATTAAAAAGGTGCTCATTATGCCCAAACCTTTACAGTTGTTTTTATGACTAGATCATTCTCTTCACATGCTATTAAAGTTAAAAATGTGCCAATGTCCAATGTCAAGCCAACTTTATGCCAGTATATCCTACCCTATCTCACGACCAATTCGTACGAATTTGTACGAGTGATTCAAAAGTGGCTAATTCGTACTAATTCATACGACCTCACTCGTACAAATTTGTACGATTTGTCTAAACCCACGTGACGGTTATGTTTAGGGGCGGGGTCAGGGGTAGGTCATTCGTACGAATTCATACGAATTGGCTAATTCGTAAAATATGTACGATTTAGCTAAATCGTACTAATTCGTACGAGTGAGGTCGTACAAATTGTTACGAATTAGCCACCTCGTAAAATTCGTACGAATTCCCGGGAGATCGGGTTGGTATATCCATCACTCGGAAACGCTCAGCATTAAGTTCATATTCTGTGTCTGTTAGTTTGATCTTTTATATCACTGTATTAGTCCATTAAGCTATGTTAAGCGTTTTATGTCCAACAGGGGAATCCTGAAGCAATGAGGAAAACATCCAAGGAATAACATTATAATCTCGTTGCATATATGCTGCACAGGGAAAGTAACCGTGAATACACTGAATTGAACATAAAACAGCCGTCCTAATAATGACAATAAAATCCTATAAGTTTTTGCGAATTAATGGCTTGCTCGTCAACAACACACGCTTGCACGCTTGTTGACTAATTAGCAGATGGAAATTATGCTCGGTAATCTACTGCTTTTCATCGAGGTCAACATGGGATTTGAGGAAGTCAAAAAGCAAAATCAAATGGACCGAAAATTGCCTGTTGAAGATTATAGGTTGTGTTTTTAAACAGTTTGAATAGAAATATGAAGGTGAATTATTGAATTGTTAACTATAAAAAATGTGTTTGAAATGTTCAACCATGCTAAATTTCACTTCTATACACATATGGTAAGCTGTTTTTAATATTTAGTAATTTAAACCTACTAGTCTCTATTTTCATGCTACTAGTACTTATTTTCTATATACTAGTATCTATTCCATTAAGTACTAGTACTTATTCATTAGCTACTAGTGAAGTGGTGGAATGTAACGAAGTACAAATACTTTGTTACTTTACTTAAGTACATTTTTCACGTATCTTTACTTTACTTAAGTAGAATAAATAGTGCATACTTTTTACTTTTACTTCGTTACATTTCGCAGCAATTATTATACTTTCTACTCCACTACATTTCTACAACTTCTGTTACATTTTCATTACATTTTCTGATCAGTTTTTCCCCTGCCAAAACGTAATCTGACCGTCTGTCCGTTGCACGTTTGTCTCACCAGTGACGTTTGGTTGCCATAGAGCCTCCATTTTTGCACTCAGGTCTAAGTCCCATGGCCCTCTATCAGAATCCAGAGTTTCAAGAAGATAAGAGAAACTCAAAATTCGACCCCAAAAAAAAAAGTTTCTCCAATCTTCTTGAAACTCTGGATTCTGATAGAGGGCCATGGGACTTAGACTTGAGTGCAAAAATGGAGGCTCTAGATATATCAACCCGGTCACACTAAATGCGTCTCGCACGCATTTAGTGTTTTTAAATGCAGTTTTTAAATGCATAGGAAACGCACCGTGTGTAATATACGTTTGGTTAGGATTATGGCAAGCCAAGAGGTTCAGAATTACACCATAAATTAATCGCGTTTACTGCCATAGTTATTATAGTAAGGATGTGTATATATTGCCTAATTGCAAGCTTGTTTCAGAAATGGTGACATTTTTTTTCCATCATTATTGAACATCATTATAGGAGTATTAGGTTGAATGAGTTAGAATTAAATGTTTTATTAATCATTAGAAAGTACTTTTACTTTTAAATACTTAAAGTACATTTAAAATCAGGTACTTTTTACTTTTTACTTAAGTATGGTTGTCATTGTGTTACTTCTACTTTTACTAAAGTAAATATTTATCTGGTTATTTGTACTTTTACTTAAGTACTGAGATTCAGTACTTCCTCCACCACTGCTTATTCTTTAGGTACTAGTGCCTTTTTAAAGATACTAGTACTTATTCATTAGATACTAGTCCTTATTCATTAGATACTAGTACTTATTCATTAGATACTAGTCCTTATTTATTAGATACTAGTCCTTATTTATTAGATACTAGTACTTGTTCATTAGATACTAGCAACTATTCTTTTGTGACTATAACAAATTTAATTTTTTGCCAGTGACTTCTATGGGGATCTGTCATTCAGATATCAACTATTCAGTTCTGACTAATATGTATTCCAATTGTGATTAGTACATATATATTAGAGACTAGCAGTTATTCATTAGATACTAGTACTTATTAATTAGATGCTAGTACTTATTCAATGGATACTAGTGCCTATTTATTAGATACTAGTATTTATTTCAAATGTTACTAGTAAGACTGAATAAGCATTGTATTTAGAATAGATATGCATACAGGCTTTATTTGCAGAAACCTCAGAATCAGTAAGAGGAACACTAGGAATTTTTCTAGGTAAATTGCATTTATTGCATTTACATGACACTTTTATCCAAAGCGACTTACAAATGACAACAAAACAATCAGTTAAACTATCAGTAGGACAACAAACTTAAGTGCGACCCCTCTCTTTTTTTTTTATTTTTTTTATTTTTTTTTTACTAAGTTTAGTAATTTATTTCTTTTAATATCACTATCTAATGCATTTAGCCACATTAGCGTTTCAGAGCATTCGGAGGGTTTTGTGACATCATCGCATACAAAAGTTACCATTTCATTGATTAGGCGCAAACCAATAAAATAAATAAATAAATAAATAAAATGACCTTTGTGCCGTACATCTTGTTGCTGAGTTACAAGTTAGTTATGCATTAAAACTGGCTAAGCATGTTAAACTTCAGCTGATGAAGGAACTACAATTTCTGCTGGGCTTTTTTTCCACAATGGAGTCAATGTGACTGTCCCACTTCAAGCCCTGGAACTTGAATAAATCCCCCACAGTGGCCACAGTGCTGTCCATGATGATAAGGGAGGCGAGTGTTGGGGTGTTCATCCTGAAGTCCACTGTTTAGAGTGTGTTCTGCTCCAGGCCTCTGCCTGTAAACAGACTCAGACATGCATATAGGGGTGCAAAAACACGCGCTGATTGTCCAGATGTTAGATGAGAATTTCACTAGCCGCTCTCTCTGTCAGGAAGTTGGTGGCAGGAGGAGGTTCGAAATGACATTCTGAAAGAAGGAAACAGAAAACATCACATCAAATCCTGGAATACAGACATGCCAATAAATCTATTAAGATAGACATTTACAGTTTTGACTACAGAGTTACTCAGTATTGCTTTGTCTACAGGTGACACACCCAGGACACGAGACCCTCACACAGAGGATTAAAGTGCCATATGGTCCCGACTCGTTCTCTGCCCTGACACACAACTTCATCCTTCGGCAGAAAGACAACATCTCAACAGGAGCGGCACCAAGTCCTCAGTCCTGCACCAACGCAATCACAACACTTACCTTATTCATCCTACAAAGACTGCTGTCCTGAGAGGGAGCAAAGACTCTTTTAAACATTAAAGACAAACTCAACTGCCTTTCTTGCACACACATATTTTTTTTTAATTCTGTACTAAATCATGATGCCATATCGAGCATTGTCAAACAATCAATAGTGGCATGCATGTAAAGACTCGATCCACAGCGCAAGTTATTGAAACAGTACAGTTAAACGTAAAACTTTTTCCTGTGTCTCAGATAATGCTTTATAATGATGTCAAATTTAAGATGCCTGCATATCTGCTGTCAATATTGGAAGACCAGTTGCTACAATACTGACATATGAAGATTGACAAGTTGAAGGATGTGTGTACAATTTTTAACTCTTTGAGAAACGTACTATTCATGATTGTTTTTATTTGAAGACGCTGCAGATAGTTTGCCAGGAAAATTATCTTAACCTTTTGCATATTAATGTGTCTTTGCATCTGTGTAACATGAAGACAACCAAGCCAAAAAAACAACAACAACAAAAAAAACCTGGTGCTCTTTCTACCTCACTCAGTTTTACTTTACAAAGACTGTGCCTTCAATAAACATCATACACAGGATCCAGTGTCTGATTTTTCACATGTAAGATGCTCTTCTTTGGAATGTGTCACTCAACGTCACTGGTCTCAATCTAGCAGGAACTATTCTGTCATGTCCCATTATTTCTCCGCGAAGCACAATATCTGTAAGTATGTGCATGTGTTTTAAAATTAATTTAGATGTTCTCTCCCTGTCTTAACTAACTGATCGGAAGTCAGTTAATAATCAGTACTAATTGGCTGAGGAGCATATTTTATATTTAGCAATTAAAATATTTAGGATAATTTGTGTTGTTAATAAGGGTTAGTTTTTTAACGCAAATTTATTCGTTTGGCAATTGGCATCATTCTGATAGAAGATAGTGGCAGTGTGCCAGCCATAGTGGCAATATGAGCCACTATTTAGTTGATTTTATGCTGACCAATAAGAAGCCAATATTGGACTGTTTTATGGCTTTTATTTTATACTTGCCATTCTAAAGGCAGGTTCTCAAAATGAACTATATAAATAAACAGATCTATATTGATAAATGAATTTTGTCCACACAGCCTGCAAAAAAACATTGTTTATTCTGTTGTACCACTTGAAATGTTTCTAAAAGTACCAATCCTTGATAAAACTGTGTGTTATTGCTATACGCTAACCTGTCACATTATTAGGTACACCTGCTTGTTAACTCAGATCTAATTAGCCAATCACAGAACAGCTTTTTGATGCATTCAGGCCTTTAAATGCCTTGCTGAGGTCAGAGGAGAATGGCCAGACTGGTTGGAGCTGATAGAAAGGCAACACAACAGTCTCTCAACAGTCACCTTGTTACAACTGAGGTATGTATAAAAGCATCTCTGAACCCACAACACGTCATCCTTGAGATAGATAAGCTACAGCAGAAGACACATGGGTGTTATTCTGCATAATTCATCCTGTTTCTTCGTGCTTTGTTTTTGTGAAGGTACAAGATTTGAAGTGCCTGTTGAAAACGGTCTAGATGAGGACAAAGCCCTGGAAATTCTCTCTTTGTATGTCAATGGGAAACCACAGCAAGTTCCAGAACAGGCCCGCAGCATTGTGAGCGAATATAAAGTTACAACTCGGTTTTTTGTTGTTATTTTTATGTTAAACGTGATCACTGCATTTCTCACCTGTCCTCTACCTCACTTTCTTGGTTCCCCTTTGGTGGTTTCTCTGATTGGATTTGATTGGATGATCTGATTTCTCTGCCTCATCCAGTGCCTTTCGTGTAGTTAATGACCTTTTGATTTAAAGTGTGATTTGACACCTTTAGGAACAAATATAATAAGGACAGTTTGTCCCGGCTGGTCAGGTCCGTCTACTACGCTCGCTTCTCCAAAGATGGGAGTAAGATCGCCTCTTGTGGGGCCAGCAAGATGTTGTGGGTAAATATCTGTTTGTGTTCTGACGCTGTGCTGTTTTATGTGATAATAATGAATGTCCTCATTAGGTGTTTGAAATGACCTCTGGAGAGAAACTTGTGGAGCCTCAGGCTCATGACGAATCTGGGCTCTTTTGTATCTGGCAGCTGTTTGAGGTGTCTTCTGCGAACCTATAGTATCCAGCTGCAGACCCGCAGCACACCAGTTTCAGAACCCCCAGCGCCAGACCCGGAAGTAAGGGGCGGGCTTACGTTCTTCTAACCAACACCAGCGCCAGGGTCGTAAGTGAGGGGCGGAGCTTAGGTTCGAAATCTAATAACGCCATCTAACGTAATTTGGAGGCTATTTTACTCATGAAACAGCTTTAATTGAACTTGAAACGTCCTACTTATGTACCTTATGATGCTATACATTACTGTACAATAAGCATTTTAAAACATTGATTTTGTGTAATATAATTGTATATAGTTTCAATTATGTGTTTCATTGTATTGAGATACTTCCTGATCATGATGGTGAAAAAAAATACTTGAAACTAATGGGCATTTTAATGTATAACAGTGTAATAATTTTAGCTAAGCAGTTTATACATTTATGAAGGTAAGACCTTTGTTTTTTATGAAGGAGGTAATTTGTTTAATAAAGCTTTAAAAGAAGTAAAACAAGACAAGCATTGGAGGTGTTTAAAATGATACACAATTCACAAACTAATTAGATGTCTGTGATATTTTATGTTTATTTATTGTGTTTACAAAAATCTTAAATTGTTTTGATATTGAAGATCTGTATTTGTAAAATGATTTTTATTGTTTAATAAAAAAAATAAACGCATGGATTTTTTTTTTTATATAAAATGTACTTTATTTCACAAGATGTGTAACATGCATTTTTTCGTGTAAAATAATAATGTCAATCTAAAAAAGAGAGAGAAAATTCGGCATTGTTTTAAACAAAACAACAAATATGTATACAAAATGACCAACTCAACCCTTGCAAGCCTGTTTTATCACAACAATCTTGTATAAATTTAACTAACAATGTATGAAATGAGGAACTCCCTCTCAGGCCCATTTTGTCCTTACATTCTTGCTAAAATAACTAACAATAATTGCGCTCCTCCCTCACTTCCGGTTCTGGCGCCGGGGTTCTGAAAATGGGGTTCTGAAACTGGTGGTGCTGGGTCTGCAGCTGCATCTCGTGAGTGGAAATCGAGCGATGTCAACAGTTTTTTTTTTTTTCCCCAGAGAGTGACGAAGTAGCCTGGATGCCAGCCCGAACTCCGCCCACAACATTTTTTGGTCGGGAAGTTCGGTCTAGACCATAGACTGTAAAAAAATATGGACGTAGTGTCCGTGACGTCACCCATAGGTTTCTGAAGAGCTTTTTTGAAGACTAAAGTGGGCGGGGCCGGCCGTCGCCATCTTGGCAGTGCGTCACCTCTCGTCACTACCGGATAAATTAAAATGGGCAAAGAGGCGGGACGCGGGTGGAGCTGAGGTGCTAATGCTATCCCAGATAGCGAACTGACATTGAATCAACGTGGAAACAACGTCTCTCATGACATTGAAACAACGTTGATTTTGCTCATCGAATTAACGTTGAACCAACGTCAGACGCGGCATTCTTCAAAGCTAAATGAAAATCGAAAATTGGTTTGCTTTCATAACGTTGAAACAACGCGTTGATTTCAAGTTGATTTTCCATTAGTTTTGAAAGAATGACGCGTCTGACGTTGGTTCAACGTTAATTCGATGAGCAAAACAATGTCAGATCAACGTTGTTTCGATGTCATATTCCA